CCCCAAAACCCCAAAACCCCAAAACCCCATATTAAAACATTAACCTTGATTGCAAAGATTGAAAAATAAAAAAATTAATAATATTCGCGTATAAAAAAGAAATAAAATATAAGTTAAGTTAATAAAAAAGCTCTAAATGGATCATAAAATAAAGCAAACTTACAAACTTTAGGAGCCCAAGCAAACATCCTATAAGCGAGTGATATCTACTTCCTACTCTACCTCTATATCCAGGCAAAAGCCTTTCAATTTAAACTAAGACATCCATCACCACTTGGTCTCTCCAGATGAGAGAAATAATGATTTAAAGACTGAAAAATCCTAAAATAGTGCAAACTAGCAGTATCAATAATAAATAGTCGTCAATAAGTATCTATCAGAGTCTAAGGAACGAGACTTGTCTTAGCAATTGCCGTGAGACACTCATCATTAAATTAGAAAGATCAATTTCGTCTCAGCCAATAAGTAATTCAACACATAGAGAGAAAATACTATCGAAGTCAGTACAAATAATTAGAACAGTGCGTAGTTTGATGTGAACAGCAAGCCAATATTTCAAAATGCAATACTGAATCAAACTCAGGATTACCCAAACGGTAAATCTTAATCAAAACCTAATCTACTGCCAGATGTTTCTTAGTCAACAATACCTATGGTTGAATTGATATCCTAAAAGTACTAGATTATGAGTAGTTAAGGCTAGAGATCCAAATATAGAACAACCAAGGAAACTAAGTATGGAAACATGATATCCAGTAATAATCAAGAAAATCTTCGGAGTACATTAGATGGTATCGATGGAGGCATTAGTTTAGACATGCAGTAGTAAAAACTAAACATAATGAATAGAAGTTTCGTAATGACTGGGAATAACAACAAGCGGCAAAGAATTCAAAAGTTTTCAAATGATTTCTAATCAGTAGAATTCTCAGGAAGTAAGCATCTAAATATGAACTTACTTTCAGATAACAACTTCAATAGTTAAACAAGTAATTAGTAAAACAACTCTTTAGTTTCCAATTAATTCATTTTACTAAGGAATCAAAGATTAAAACTACTTGACACAATTAAGCGCAAATCAAACAATCATGAAAGCCATCTAGCCTCAACTAAAGCTAACACTTTGGGCAATACAATGGCTAATCTTAAGAAATTCTCACAAAATCATACTCAGATAATCAAACTCTCAGATAAGGATAATGACCAGGAGGCTTTAAAGATTGAATAACCCCAGTTTCTTTCTCATCCTCATACATTTAGAGAATCAAATGACATGGACAACCATGAGAATTCGCATAATTTAGTAGAGGTGGATAGCATTAAAAAGCAAAAGTCAGCAGAGAATAGATACTACGACTTAGAGTCTAAGCAGGTTCACATTTAAAACACAAAGACATTTAGAGTCAGTGAAGTTGGCACATAAACTGGCAATGCTGAATTCCTATAAAGTCTGGCTAATCAAAAAAATGGAAGTCTTAAAAAAAACATTGATAACTTAGCTATGGATGTGGATTAGCTAGAAATGGAGATAGAGACCAAGAGCAAAGCCAATCTTAGAGACAAGATTGCTGTAAATAGAGACAAGCATAACATTTATGTCTAATCGTTATCAAAGATGGTTGAATTACTCTATGAGGAGTAGTAAGGTGTACAGTAACTATCTTAAAAAATGAGCTAAATCCTTAAGAAGTAATTTAAACGATACATATCTGGTATTTAGTAATCTTTCATGGCTACAATAAATTTTCACTACGATCTTTAGTCAAGATAGCATACACAGTTTAACTAGTTTAGAGACTCAATTAAGACACTCTCAGAAAAGCTTAAGCAGACTCACATTCTTCTTATGAAAGAGAGATAAATTAATTTCGATGATTATTTATCCTTAGATAAAGATAACCCAACTAGGAAGGCCTTTGAGTTAGTGAGTTCACTTCACTAATTGCTTCAAACTGAGTAAAGTAATATGACTACATTGAGTTTTGGAGCAAGTACAACACCAGGTTTAAATGATACAGTTCTTACAATTGCTGATATAAAGAGTGTAGGGGGATACCAAGAGGCAGCTGATGATATACTAGCTGAATTTGATAAGATAGATCAGCTTGGGGATACATTTGACAGAAGAACGAGAAAGACTTAATTACTAATGTAGCTATAAGCCACAGATGTGACTAGAACTCTGAAAGAAGTGCATTAAATACTGATGCTCAAGAATTCATCTGCTTTGAACAAATAATTGTAGGAAAATATAAACGATAGTATGAGGGATGAGGAGAAGACATTGAAGTTAATGCAAGACATAGAAAAAGAAATTACAAATAGGTTTTCCTCTGTCCAAAAGCAGACTGCTCTTAAAGTGCTAAACAGATATTTCAAGCCACAAAAATTTAAAGAGATAGAAATACAAACGGAGGATAACAAAATATACGAAAAATATCAACTCAAAAAGGAAATGATAAAAGAGCTTAAGGTTGAAAAAGAAGGTCTAGAAAAGACTAGTCACGATTTAAACAAGTAACTAAAGCATCTTAATGATGAACATATGAAAGTTAAGAATTATCTTAGAGTTCAAGAGGTAATATTTAAAGAATCAGAAGAAAAAATGAATGAAATGTTAAAAAAAGAAGCATAAACGAAGTTGAGAAATGATGACTTGCAAAAATAGTTAAATGAATTAGATCTTTCGCATTAGAAAGCTATGAGGGACAGAGAGTATTTGTTATAGAAGATCTAACGCAAGACTGAAAAGCTTCAAAAACTTTAAATGAATGTTGACGAGCTTTCAAACTTAAAGCAGGAAAATGAGAAAAAGTTGAAGGTTTAGCTGGATCAGCTGTAAGAAAATTATCAGATTATGAGTGAAGCTTATGTGAAAGAGAGAACTGATAAAGATGGAGGTCTTGGACCAGATGGGCTTAGGATAGACAGCTATATTTCTAAAAATGGCGATAGGCTCCTTACTGATTCTCAGATAACAGGTTCATATAATCATGATTCACCAGAACACAATAGATACTCAAACAACTCTAAGAGTGAATTCACTCACAAGTACAACAGACCAAGCTAGAATAACAGCATCAATAAGACTAATGGCAAAGCAAATAATAACAATAACAGCAACTCATAGTCCCATAAAAATGAAATGATTCGTAAATTCAATGGAACTGGTGGCACCATAGACAGTAGTATATAGGAGGGAGATGAGTTTAAAGAGCATGGCCATCAAAGTAGCAGGGGGAGACTTGGTGGTCCTGATGGTAAATCTCATCTAGACCCAAGGCATCTCAAAGGAAAAGGAAAGAAGTAGAGCAGAAGAGTGGATGGTACCCTTGATAGTGACGGCAACCTTCACAGAAGTAAAGATGACAGCTAGGATTCAAAGAGTTTAGGAAGTGATGCAGACGAGAACACTAAAAATCAGAGTTCAAACACTAGAATCAAGTCTAGAGCTCGCAATCATGACAAGGAAGGTGGTAACAGAAAAGGAAATGATCCAAACAACCCAAATGGTACAACAGATTCCTCTGGAAATCCTGGTTACAACAAGAGTGTAAAATTCCAGAATGACAAGAACAACCTTTCCTTAAATCATCGTAGCATGTTTAACTAAGCAGACAAAAGCTAGGAGATGTTGCTTTAGGAATAAGAATCTTCTAGCATTGAGAGATAAGGTACCACTGGGAAGAACAATGGAATCATGTCTAGCAAATATGGAGACTATAAATTTGCTGACTATATGAGACCAATTGGGAATAAGCATAGCAGCAAAGCAGTAACATAATTTGATGATGTGAGTGGCCATTTGCTTCACAATGAAAGATGTGGACCAAATTGCTCTCATTTGCTTCGAGGCATTAACTCCCCAAATAAAAACAAAAGATAGCTACTCCCTCTGAAAAAGTAGAAGCTAGAACTGGATGATGAATTCTGAATGGATGAAATAGGCAATGATCAAAAGAATATGGAATTAGATAATTAGAGTGATGATTGCAACTGTGTGACTAAAAATATATTAACATATCATACTTTATTTAACTCTAAACTTAAGTAATAGCATAAAGTATTTAAACTAGTTAATCCCATTTTATAAAAAACACAGTCTCTTTAACCATATTAGAATTAAAACTAATAATTTCATTGGTGTTATTAAACGTGTAAAATCTACCTTATTATCTTCTTCATAACTACTAAAGTCATAATTATAATAATAGCTATCACTTCTTCATAAGTATTCCCTCATATATTTGGCAACTTAGAGTCTGTTTTCCCATTGAAGTAAATGTATTCTGAGGAAGAATAGACAGAGGCAGTAGAATAAATCCAAATAAGGGCTGATTTGTATTGATTGAAAACTGACTAGAGTAAAAGACATGATAAACCATGAAAGAATAGCCAAAAAGTTTAATAAAATTGACCACTTCAAAGTATTCTAAAGTCTTAATAAAAATATTATTTCTTACCGTTGTCATGTATTTCTCAAATCTCGAGCGAAGGTTATTCACGCTGTATTTCATATCAATTATTACTAGGGAGTCTCCATTGGGGGTGTGATAGTTTGATTTAGGGTTTTCAGTTATTTCATTTCCATGAGTTTTTTCATTATCATTTTACTTGATGGGTTAATACTCAAAAGTATTATAATTTTGGATATTATTGTGATTGACATTAGAACCTGGAGTCTGAATATATTAGCAATTTTTATCATAGATCAATGTCAAAACAGAGAAAATACTGTGAATATTCAATACTAAAGCTGAGCATTTGAGGATTATGTACTATTTGTATTGTATCAAGCAAAGAGGAAAATAATTACTATGATAAATGCTCTGTTCAGAAATAGGAATGACTCACAAACTTTCTCTCTATCTTCCACATTGCTATACAAAGTAACGCAACCATTCTTAACGTAATTGCTTATAGTAATAAGCCCTTCAATTGGATCTGTTGTAGACATGAATCTAAAACAAACAGCGTTCGGTATGCTACGACTACTCTCTCTATTCTAGTTTTATTCCTAAATAAATAAAAGATTAAAGCAAGATAATTTTGAAACTATTGTGAAAGATATGAATTTTTAGACCATAGGTCTCGCCTACCTCTATATAGCAAAACCAGTTGAAGTAAAATATTAGACAGAGCACCAGAAGTAGTGAAACATTGAGGAACATGTTGAGCTTGAGATTATTTTTGGAGATGTAAATAGAGTCCTTATGTTATTTGGTGAGAGAGTGGTTGCTGTGTCTATCAACTTCCTCGTCTTCATTGTCTTTGTCCCTATCCTCACTTGACCAATCACTCTGTCCCTCCGATCTATTTTACGGGTTTTTCATTGATCTATGTGTCTATATTTGTCTTATTCGGATATTAAGATATTTACTTATCTTTGGTGCAAACTTGGCTACATCTAAGTTTATTGGCGTTGGTGATTGTCAATTGGATTGGTATCAAAATCTTGCCTGTGAGTATTGGACGGCTCTAGCTTTTGGATGTGGCTTTTGCTAAAGTTGTTCTTTTGCATATTTTATTGCTCTAATCAATTTAAATTATAATTTGCACTTACAATTATAGAGAGAAGTAGAACTGTAATAATTGCTCCCATCATCTTTCACTGAATGTCCCAGACTCATGCCTCCTCCGTTTGCTGACAAGAATTCGTGTTAGTGGCTGCTTGCATTGAATTACTGCGATTCACTTAATTCAGATGCAACCCTTTTGTTAGGTTTTCTGAGTAAGGCCTCTTTTAGTCTAGCTTAATGAGTAATTATGTCGTCCTCCATGTCAGTATGTTAACTTTTGATGATCTCTAAATCTACTATTTTAATTTATTACTATTATCACACACTCTCACTCAGCAATCATCATTTTTACTCTAAATTTAATCTTCATACCACTCTACTATACTATCAAGTTTCACGGGGTTTTGGGGTTTTGGGGTTTTGGGG